TGTAATCTCCTTTTAACCATATATAGTACAGTACCTTATTTTTTTTTCACTTTGGAGGACTTCTTTATTTTTATTTATTTTTTGGGGGTATGGGTGATAGTTAAAAAGTGATATTCTGTCTCTGTGCCTTTCTGATCTTCATGTTAATTTGACTACATTTATGTAGTAATAAATGCTACAAAATGGATCTTCAGTTCTAATCCTCCTTACATTACATTTAATTAATCACATTTAACAACCATTTGAGTACATGATATTATAGTGTACATGATAGAAATCTCAGTGTATTTGTATTCTGTTAAGATAATGTTTTTGGCACAGTGTCACATGCCTTTCTGAAGCCATTTGTCTAAAGACAATGAAGAGTTTCTCAAAGCAAAAAGAAAAGCTTGCAGCTCAAATCTGCGACATTACACCCTGCAAGATTCCAGCAGCTTTGTTTGGATATACAGCACCGAAAAGAAACGAGCAAAAATCTATTGGTCAAAGTATAAAATAGTTTATTTAAATACAGAAGATTTATATAGCTGGTTTTCCCTAACACAAGCAAAATAAAAATCAGATATATCTGAATTACATTATTTTGTTAAAATTTTAACTCTCATGCAAACCAAATTCTTCTTGTTATTTTCTATTGTACTGTACATTTTCTAGGTGTACTATTGTCTGTAACAGAAACCATACATTGAGTGGTCTAATGTTTAAAGCACATCTGAAAATTATTTTTGCATTTTACATCTGTAAATATACAGTAGTGTGAAAACGTAAGTATATCCCATGAAAAGGTTTGTCTTTTTTTACATTTTTGGACAAAAGGATATTTGATCGTCATTTCAACAATACTGATAGATAAAGGTTATCTAATTTTAAAAAATAACATTGAAAAATCACATTTTGGACTCATTTGTACTATTTAAATCAACAGAAATGCAATTTTCTTGTGCGGAAAAAGTTAGTACACCCCTACCTTTATCATTGCATCAAATGCCTAAAATTAGAATCAGGTGCACCTCAACACCTGAACATCATTATAACATCATCAGAGAGTAACTTGGAGGGAACTGCCTTATGTAAACATCACAAACCTGTGGTCTGGTTTGGTCTCAGCAATTGAGGTGTGTGGCTTCATCATGCCAAGATCGAAAGAGCTCTCTAAGGCCCTCAGAAGAAAGATTGTTGATGCCTATGAGTCTGGGAAGGGTTTTAAAGCCATTTCCAAGCAATTTGTAGTCAATCACTCCACTGTCCGAAAGATCATCTAC